GGTTTTGCGATAAGATCAGAAGCCTTTTCCAGCTCACTTTAAAAGCTCTTATGAAGAAATGAATACAGCTGAAGGGTTTTAGTTTTTTTGTGTCAGTCACGATATAGTCCAGTTGGTTTTTTCGTGGCCACACCGTTCTCATCTCAGAAATCCGCAAGCCTTACAGAATCTGCGCTTTTTATTAATGCAGAGGAACTGAGCTACAAGTCAGTCAGCGAAAAAATTGTATGAAGGACGTGTGTTCTTTTCAGCTCTGCATGAAACTTGAAGAAGAGTCCTCATGAGCAACTATATCTCCGTGGGAGAAACATACAGATAAGCAGTAGTTTGTCATCATTTCTTAGTGTATAAATTAAACATGGGGCACATGTGCTGAGGAGGGAAAATTCATGATGACCCGAAGAAATCATGGAACTTCACCCGGTAAATGGCAGCGAGTTGCTGCGAATCTTCGCTGCTGCACCGCACTTATCTTTCGGGACGAACGATACTAAAACAGTATGCGCCAGGAAGAACACTGAAGTTGATCTTGTGAAGAAAAGCAGATATACAAAGCGGATTCTTGTATGTATCAAACGAGAGTGCCATTGCGTTACGAAGATTCAGTTAAATAATTTTGTGGAATAATGTGGATGAGAGAGGCTGAAATCAGAAAGTGGAGAAGTTGCCTGCTGAATTTATGGTAGAAGTAAGGATACAAGGTGTAGTGTTTTTCGTCGTTTTCCAACTTTTTTAAAAAGACTGGAAAAGGCACCCTCTTTTCAATTTCGTGGAATTACGGACTGCTTTACTAGCTAGAGTCATTGATTTATATCGTTGTTGAGTAAGTAGTCGCTGAACTTCTCTTGCATTATGTATAGAAACAAAGAACTGACGTAAGATATGTTCAGGTTAGAATCGATTATGATGAACAGTCGACTGTGCCGAAACTCGGGACATGGCTTGTTCTGCGACGAACTGGTAACGACAACTACGAGGTCGAACGAAAGTGCCGAAAACCAGTACTACCGACAAGGATATATAAAAACAACGTGATGGTAATCTGAGTAATTCCTCCGACAAGCTACCTCAACTGCTTTTCACACCCTTCGCGTCTTAAATGTTCCGCAT